GAGGCCAAAAGCTAGTAAATTTCTCTGCCTGCACGTCTGTTCTGTGAAACAACTGACAAGGCATCCTTTGTAAAATGTGCCTCATTCCCAGACTGACCAGGTATTTCCTTGGTTTGTAGGCTGTGACGTAAGGTACTTGCTGTGAGGGAGTAGAAGGGCTCTTACTTTGGTAGCTGCAGAGAAACACCTATTCCTGTGCCCGTCCCAGTTACAGCAGTGAGTGAGCCACCGTCTCCCTGCACGGGAGGTGGAATGCTTGCTCAGCAGCTCAGCTTTCTGCTGGAGTCTCCTTCCCTGCGACAGAACCACACCCATTTAATCAGTTAAACTTAGGATACATTTTTTTTTTCCTGGTAGGTCAAATACATTTTATTGTTATTCTTCAAAAAGATTGTGGCAATTCTACCACATTTATTTTTCCTGATGAATTTTACAGCTGTTTTTGTCATGTTGTTCACCCAAAAAATTCCAATATTTTTGTTAAAAATGATTTAAATTTACATGTGAATTTAAAGGAAAAAGTTCCTACATTTTATGTTCCTCAGAATCTCTTGGAAGGACCTGCATTTTTCCTCCTAAACTTAGTCTTAGAGCACATGTTATTGCTATATGAAGATGACATCTTGCACTGTATTCTCTACTTCTTTATTTATTTATTTATTTTGAGACGGAGTTTCACTCATGTTACCCAGGCTGGAGTGCAATGGCGCAATCTTGGCTCACCGCAACCTCCGCCTCCTGGGTTCAGGCAATTCTCCTGCCTCAGCCTCCTGAGTAGCTGGGATTACAGGCACGCGCCACCATGCCCAGCTAATGTTTTGTATTTTTAGTAGAGACGGAGTTTCACCATGTCGACCAGGATGGTCTCGATCTCTTGACCTCGTGATCCACCCGCCTCGGCCTCCCAAAGTGCTGGGATTACAGGCTTGAGCCACCGCGCCCGGCCTCTACTTCTTTATTGATAGAAAAGAGGAATGCTATTGATTTTTGTCTTCTTATTTTGCTCCTAGTCACCATCTCACTTTTGGACTGTTTCTACCAGCTTGCAGTTCATGCGTTGCTCACCTGCACTCTACCACCTCGTCTTGTAGCTTTACAAGGACAGAGAGGGACCCTGCAGGGAGGAAGCAGAAATAAATCCCTGAATTCGCTTGCTGCTCTGCCTCTGTATTTTTGCTGAAGTTTCCCCATAGGCCCGACCCAACCAGAAGCCAGAGGTCATGGGAATATATCCCTGTGGCTCAGAGGGACAGAGAAGGCAGGCCTACATCTGTCTAAGAGGCAGGTGGGAGGACTGTGATAAAAGTGCAAACTCCCTGAATGCCCTTCCAGGCCGTGCCTGCTGCTCTGAGCTTGAAAAGAACCCCAGGACCAGCCCATCCCCCTTGTCTGGGTTGAGGTCTGTGTCGATAACACATGAAATGCTTTATGATGAGGTATAGATGAGAAGACATCTTTCCTTTGTGAGCCCCTAGAATGTCTGAGCTGGAGAAGGCCATGGTGGCCCTCATCGATGTCTTCCACCAGTATTCCGGAAGGGAGGGAGACAAGCATAAGCTGAAGAAATCCGAACTGAAGGAGCTCATCAACAATGAGCTTTCCCATTTCCTAGAGGTGAGTCTTGCTTTTTAAACTTGACACTTTCTCCATCTCCTCTTACAAAGCCACTGTACACTGGCTTTATCTTCTCAGCTGCCCTGAAGCTGATTCCAGTTCTGTTCCAGGACTCCTGGGTTGCTTCCGGAAACTTGCTTGAGTAACAGAACCCTCAATGGGGGGGCTGGCTCAGATGGGCCCCTTGTTTTCATTTCCTTATCAACCGTCTTGTGTACAGCAGGTGCATCAAGGGAAATCTGCTGTCCCAAAGGCAAAAGGTTCCCAAATAATGCTAGACTCGTTACTTACATGGGCCAAAGTGAACATAAAAGGAAACTGTTCAAAATAAGCTTTGAGAATGTTTTTAGGAAAGGGATATATTTTTGGCTTTAGCTAGACATTTATTATTTACTATGGAGATAAGATATGCTAGACTTTCACTCAGTAAACACTGCCGAAGCACTAATTAAAAACTGTGAGGTATGCAGGCACAACAGATGTGGTTCTGCTCTTGGGCACCCAGCCTGGCATATGGATGGATGATCAGGACTTACTTGCCTGAGGGCATGAGAGGAGTCTGCACACATCCTTTGGAAGCCCGGGGCTTTGCAGAAGGCTCCGTGGAGTGACGGATATTGGTGAGGAACTGTCTTTAGTTGGGACCCTACTTTAGGAACCTGCATGAGGGCTCCTGGGAGCCCTGTTCTTCAGACAGTTCCCACTCTGGCTTGTGGTAGAACACTTGCATTAAGGACTCATTTTCCTGCCACCATCTCCACTGTCCTTGGATCAGACCCACCTGTCTTTACTGCTCACCTCATGTGCCCTCATGGAAGTGAACTGTGATCCACCTGGTGCCCGATGCTCTCTTAACACCAAGGCTGGCTCAAGGCACACACAGAGCCAGAGCGAAGCACCAGGGGTGTGCACCATGTGAGATGTGATAAAGGGTTTCCTGGGTCACTGATAGAAGCAATCACAAACGGGAGAAAACACCAGATGATGAGCCAGCACAACAATGTCTCACCAAGCCGATTCCAGGATAAACACCAGGGTTGGGCTTGTTGCATGGGGACGGGAGCTGCCCTCCTGAGCTGTCCGAGCCTCTGAGTGCAAGACAGCAAGCCGTGGGTTCCAGCAGCATGACAATCATGTTGTCAGGGCAGGGGAGAGGGCGCTGGCTGGTTCTCCTGTCCGCACTCCCACCAAACACCGCACCACTGCGAATGGGTCAGAGTGGAGGAGACAGGCCTGCAAGCTTGCAGGGGCCATCACCACATCTGATTCCAGGACTGGTTTTCTCAGGCATTCAAGCCCACACAGGGACAGCAGCCCCACTCACACATGCAGTTTTCTAGTTCCACCAGTCCTGCCTTCTGACGTGATCTAAAAGTCCCAGGTTCTTCTTCTGAACAAGGGCTGTTATGAGAATGAAATGGATAGTGCTTAAGTGCTTAACATGTAGTGAAAGCTCAACTAATAATAACTACTATCATTATTTTTATACATAGAAAAAGCTTAGCATGTGGGAATTTCAATTTATAAATGATAAATAATTCATGGTAAGCATATCAAGACACCAAGAACATTTATTGGCCTGGTTTTGTCAAGGTAATTTCAGTTCGGAAGCAGATCTATAATATAACTGAAGTTAATGCCCTACTCCTGCCCATCCACAGGTGCCTCCCCACCCCTACCCCTGTAGAGTTACAATCTTATGTATGTTTTTCTTATTTATTTAGTTTTTGAGACAAGGTCTTGCTCGGTCACCCAGGCTGGAGTGCAGTGGTGCAACCTTGGCTCACTGCAGCCTCAACCTCCCAGGCTTAAGCAATCTGAGTAGCTGGGAATATGGGCACAAGGACCATGCCCAGCTAATTGTTTTATTTTTTCTTTGTAGAGATGGAGTCTCCCTTTACTGCCCAGGCTGGTCTCAAACTCCTGGGCTCAAGTGATCCTCCTGCCTCAGCCTCCCAAAGTGCTAGGATTACAGGTGCGAGCCACCGTACCTGACTCCTGTGTGTTTTATATCCAAGGCAGCCATTGTACATTACACCTGACTTCTTCAGGCCAAACCCTCCAGTCCTGGGGAATTGTTACTCTGCATTTATGCTCATCATCAGTGTTCAGGGCCCCAATTTTCCCCACCACGTTTGTAGCCCTGCTCTGTGGTTGTTCCTCTGAGGGTTTGTTCATCACTTAATAGCCACACCATTCAATGTCAGGCAGAACCGTCAGGAAAAAGTGTCATGACACCTAGAAAGCAATTCGAGTGTGAAAAAGAATATAGGATTAACAAATGCAGGACATGCTCCCAAGAGTTACTTTGGCAACAAAGACGACTTTCAAAACATTAAATTCTACTGGAAGCCTTTTCCATACACAGAACACATGAAAAGTTTAGGAGGGCCGTAAGTTTATTTTTATTTCATGACATTTGCTCAGGCTGATCTAGACTGCCTTTTTTTTTTTTTTTTTTTTTTTTTTTTAAGTATGATAATCTTCAGTTTTTCACCTCTTGGCTATTCCATTCAGCCTTTTCCAGTAGCCCAGGGCCAGGCACTGACCCCCAGAGACTCCTCCTTGGACAACAGCCCCCGGTCGCACGAGACATCTTTCCTGATATTTTGCATTACATATTCTTAGGTTATTTTGGACACAAAACATCAGAGTCACTCAACTTTTAATCATGTTTTGATGATCCAAAATTCCATTTAAAAACAAGGTTGGCAACTTCTTTTATCTCTCGTAGGAAATCAAAGAGCAGGAGGTTGTGGACAAAGTTATGGAAACTCTGGACAATGATGGAGACGGCGAATGTGACTTCCAGGAATTTATGGCCTTTGTTGCCATGGTTACCACTGCTTGTCACGAGTTCTTTGAACATGAGTGAGATTAGAAAGCAGCCAAGCCGTTCCTGTAACAGAGATGGTCACACAAGAAAGCAGACAGCAAGGGTTTGCAGCCTCTAGGAGCTGAGCTTTCCAGCCGCGTTGTAGCTAATTAGGAAGCTTGATTTGCTTTGTGAATGAAAAATTGAAAACCTCTTTCCAAAGGCTGTTTTAACAGCCTGCATCATTCTTTCTGCCATATTAGGCCTGTGTGTAAGCTGACTGGCCCCATGGACTCTTGTTAACAGTCACTTAGGAGTCAGTTCTCAGTGATAAAGCGCGCACCGTGTAGCCCACCGTGGCCGTGTAGACCCTACCCTGGAGGGAACCCTGACTACAGAAATTGTCCTGGGGCACCCTTGAGCCTTCCGCTACCTTTAAAAAACAAAGCCTTATCCAACATCATTTGAAAACACTGCTGTTCTTTAAGTGTGGTCCTCCTGCTTGCAGCTAACGCGTGCTTGGCCAGCGTGGCCCTGCAAGGGCGTGGTGGCCGCAGCCTGCCTCCCGGGCAAACACCCGGTGCTGCCAGCGCTCTCGGAAAAGGAAACTCGGTCAGAACTCGGAATGCCGGCCGGTTACGGGGGTTCCGGAGCAACCTCTGCGCCCCACGTGATTCGAGTCGCAGCTGCAGGATCCTGGCCTCCAAGGCGCCGACAGCCCGCACGGCTTCCGAGGGCACCACCGGGGACCCTGAGCCGCTGCGACGGCCTGAGTTCAATCAAAGAGCGCAGCAGCAGCGCCCCAGCGCCATCAAAAGGGAACGCGGGCACCCAACGCGGCTTCCCCACAGTCCCCACGAGGCGGAGGCTTCCCCGGGGGCACGGGGCCACGCCACCACGGACTTCCGGCCCGCTTGGGTCACGTGCTCTTCCCTAAGCCAATCACCAGCCGCGAGTGGTCCAGGGCAGTCACATGCCTGCCGCAATGCACGCTGGGCCACCAGCCTCTTTCCGGGCGGTCTGTGGCCTCCATCTTGGAAACCTCGCGTTCCTCAGGGCCCCTCGGTGCCTTCTGAACAGGCGCAGGTAGAACGCAGCCCTGCCTGTACCAGGCAGTGTGGGAGGCCAGAGGCACTCAGTGACCGAGGCTGGGTGCGGCAGAGGCAGGAACTGCTGCTGTGGCGCCCTAGAGATGGGTGGTCAGAGGGACCTGGGAGCGGGGCGGGGAACCCAGTGAGGCCACCCGGCGGGTTCCCAGGGCCCCATGCTCGCTTCTTGCTCGGCTCTCACCATCTGGAAATCTTTGGTTCCTTTTGGCCAAGGGGCAATGTTTTCATTTTGCACTGCGCCCTGCAGATTCCGGGGCTGGTCCTGGCCCGTGCTGCGGGCCGGGGAGCAGGAAGCCACGCTTGGGAGGCCCAGGGTGCGACCGTGAGTTGGGGGGCAGGAGGGGCGGTGCTGCCCTTGGCGCAGGTCTGCGCCTCCCACCTGCATTCCTCCCCAAAGGATGCTCCGCCGCCTCGGCAGGAAGTTATTAGTCCTCCCAGAGCCTCCTCTGCCCACATTGATCCAAGAATCCCACGGCGACTCAGTCCCCAGAAGCCTGCTCTGCTTCCAAACCAGACAGGGAGAACACTGGCCCTGCAAGGAGCCAGGCTCCAGCCCCATTCCTCAGGCAGCTTCTGAGCACATGGGGGCTCCTCCACCATTCAGAAGGAGTCTGGGGGGTCTCCTCCAATCAACTGCCATTAGCTCCAGGTTGTAAATGTCATCGGTCTTCCACTGGCCATCCATAGCTGAGTGTGGCCCACCCTCACCCAGAGGCACCTTCCAGTTCCATGAGTGGGTGATGGTAGCCCCACAGCCCACTGGCCAGCACAGCCCTGGCCTACCCCAAAGGCTGCTTCCGGCAACCCCAGGTGGACAGGGGATGGTCCCGGGCAAGGGGGTGGGGGAAACCCGCCCCCAGATTTGAACAGGAACACATGGAGGTCACTTAGGCCTGGAGGGCAGGACCAGGTGTGAGAAGTCTGTTTTCATAACTTGTTGCCCAGGCTGCCATTTCCATGGCCCAGTTCAGCCACACAAAATTTTCTGTGCTCAATCAGTTTGTCTTTAATTCACAAGACTTAGGCTAGTCACCTCACAAATCTGTCCCTGCAGTGTTGGTCTCTCAAGGTTGGAGACCCTGGGGCCAAGCCAAAGACCCCATTTATTGACTTGCAGTGAGAACGTGCTGTTGAGAAGTCGGGCTGCAAGAACCCAGCCTCTCTGGACCCTATGGACCATCCTCTACAGGTGCTCCTCTCTCTGCCGGAAGTACAAGCAACACAATTGCCAGACTTTCCTGCCACCAAGAGGAGGAATCATCATCTAATAACTGGATTGCAGGGGGTAAGGCCTTGGGCCCCCAGGCGGTATCTGACCATACCCCATCTGTACCCACCAGCAGGGACAGAGACAGCAGGAAGGCTATTGGGATCCCAAGCCCTGGGGTATGTGCCCTCCTGACCCCATGTCTCTGCCTGGGGAAATGGAGCAGTGAGGAGGGAATTGAAGAGTGGGTGATCCTGGGCTCCCCTGGCCCTCTGTCAAGCTCTGGCTGTCTCTTGCCCATTGTTCCAGATCCCCACCTCTGTGGGACCCCAGGCCTGTTCAGCCAGACCCTGCTCCTTTTGCAACCAGCAGAGGAATCAAATTTCCCTCAAGCTGGCTGGGGCCCTACTTAGGTATCTCCGCTGTGGGCAGTTTGTCTCCACAGCATGACACCCTGTGAGCCCCATGAGCCCATTGCTGTTCTCTGCAGCTCTGTCCTGTGAGGCCCCATCCTGGTCTCCAAGGCAAAACAGGGACCCTTGAGCCCGCAAGCCCCCAGCCAAGACCCTGAAGAGGGTTTGGCAACTCTTCTTAGGAAGTTGTGGGAGACACCTGGGTTTGTTTGCTTCTGTTCCAGGGTTCTCAAATTTAGGGATTTCACCCTTATCTTTCGCAGACAAAATCGGATTATTCTAATTGCAGATAGATGGAAGTGTTTGGGCATCAGAGGAAGGTTCCACTGGCCCTTCATCCAGTGGGACCTTCTACACACAGATACTACTTTCTGCCCACAATGGAGACACCCAAGTAGGCTCCACTAGCCTTGTCCTGCAAGAGCGCAGATACTGCCTGGTGCTATTTCTTTGCTAAGAACTGGGCTGCCTTGGGGAGCACGAAGGCGAGGACAAGGACTACCTGGCTTCTCCATCCTGAGGCACCCTTAATTTTGACCCTCACAGCCATGTCCACCCGCAACCTGGTAGGCAAGACTCTGGCACAACCTCCTTTCACTGCATTTAGGGAGGAAAGGTCAGGCCTCTCTCTGAAGGAGTGCAGAAAATACACATTATTCAAGCCGGTTAGCATGAGGCAAGCCTGGAACTTTCATACAGGGCTGGATGTTGAGCAGAGAGCTGAGGGTGAGGCTGGCACTCTCCTCAGGAAAATAATCCAAAGCCCCCAGGATCTAAACCTTGCAGGAAGGAGGCCATACTTGGCTGGACTAGATGGAGCTTTTCTGATGTCTTCTTGCCCCAGCACCCCTAATTAAAATACAGATCCCTGAAGTGCATCTCAGGAATTTGAGAGGCCACTCCTGAACTTTTCCTATTCTGTGAGGGGGTGGGGGACACTACAGAGGACCTACTGGGTCCCAATGCCCCCTACAGCTCACTGTACAACACTCTGCTGGGATCGTACTACATATCCCAAGGACCAGGCCCCCCAGGTCTGAAGTGGGGTCATGACTCCCTGGGGTTTTTAGCTGTGAAACTGATCAAACAAGAACTCATGGGTTTGATGTTTATCCTCAGGGAAGTTAGTAACACCAGGTTAGCAAGATAGCACTGTCTGCCTAGATTATACCTCAGGAGGAATTGTGACCACCCTGCCAGTGTACCAGGCCCCTCACTGGAGAGTTGACTCTGCAAGGCACAGAGTGGAAAAGGCCTCAGCTTCTCTAATACCTGAGGATCCCTGAGCAGGGACATCACTCTCTTTGCCCAGGCCCACAGCAGTCAAGCCCTTCTGGACTGCAATTTCCTCATTCAAGAAAATAGGAGTGTTGGGTGGTATACACATAGTGCATTAAAGTGCACCCCACCCTCTCCTCCTAGTCTTCACATCTTGTGAAATCTCCATCCCCTGGGTATTCCTGATCTCAGCTGGTTGGGGGAAGCATCCATTAAGTATCCATTGAGTATGTTAACTGTGGGATTTTTGTAGATGTCATTTATCAGGTAAATTTCCCTTATATTCATAGGGTTTTGGATTTTTTTAAAAGCTTTTTTCTGTGTTTATTGAGGATGATACAGGATTTTTTTTCTTGCTGCTTTACCAGCTGGATGCTTCTTTGGCCAGCAGGATCTCTGCTCATTTGTTCCTATCCACTCTGGCCCATGGCTCCCAGCTTGCCTGGCCCCACCAACACTTCCCATCATGTGGGCCACCTGGCACGAGGAAAGGGCCAGTATTACAGCTTCTTTTGTACCCACTGTTCAGTGGGTCCCAATTCTTGTCCCACATCCAAGAAGAATGAGGTTATGCAGATAACCAGAGAGTAAGCAGGGCAGAGAGTTTTATTGAGTGACAAAACAGCTCTCAGCAGAGAGGGGGACAGGAGTTGGGTACACTACCCTTACCCAGTCAGGTAGTCGTCCCCTGCCTGAAAGCAGGCAGTCCCCCAAGTGTGGCTGAATCTGGGGCTTTTATGGGCTCAGAATGGGGGAGTGCATGCTGATTAGTTTGAAAATATGTTAAAAAAAAAAAAGGCTAAAACAAAGGCACCACTCAAAGGTGGAACACAACAATGTTAAAAAACAATTAGGGGGCCGGGCGCGGTGGCTCACGCCTGTAATCCCAGCACTTTGGGAGCCCGAGGCGGGTGGATCACGAGGTCAACAGATCGAGACCATCCTGGTCAACACGGTGAAACCCCGTCTCTACTAAAAACTACAAAAAATTAGCTGGGCATGGTGGCGCGTGCCTGTAATCCCAGCTACTCAGGAGGCTGAGGCAGGAGAATTGCCTGAACCCAGGAGGCGGAGGTTGCGGTGAGCCGAGATCCCGCCATTGCACTCCAGCCTGGGTAACAAGAGCGAAACTCCGTCTCAAAAAAAAAAAAAAACAATTAGGGAAAGGTAGGTATATGTAAAATAGGTGAAGAGTGGGGATCAATGAGAGGAAAGCATGCCAAATGGGGAGAGAGGTACTCAGTCTGGTCCATAGACTTATTCGACACTTGTAGCTTGGCTTTCAGGCTTAAAACTGCCTTTGCTTTGAAGGTTATGTTTCACCAGGGAGCTTCTCTTATCTGCCTAGGGATTTGTCTGCCTCCTGCCACTATGAGTTCTCCCATCCAGAGAGGTACATCTAACTGCCGTTAGAATAAGGACAACAGGCCAGGTGCGGTGGCTTACACCTGTAATTCCAACACTTTGGGAGGCCAAGGTGGGTGGATCACCTGGGGTCAGGAGTTCGAAACCAGCCTGGCCAACATGGTAAAACCCTGTCTCTACAGAAAAACAAAAATTAGCTGGGCACGGTGGTGAGTGCCTATAATCCCAGCTACTTGGGAGGCTGAGGCAGGAGAATCACTTGAACCCAGGAGGCAGAAGTTACAGTAAGCTGATATCACACCATTGCACTCCAGCCTGGGTGACAAAAGTGAAACTCTGTATCAAAAATAAATACAATAAAAATAAATTTAAAAAATAAGGACAATGACTGCTCTTAACTGCTTTATGCTGACAGGGGTGCTGTTTTGGAAAAATGGCAGTCATATCTTTCCCAGAGGCCTATCTAAGGGTCCCCAGTAAAAGGGAGCCATGGTCCAAGGCTCCATTTGTGTGACCATGTAGAATTTGATGGGCTGAAGGTGAGAAGAGGCAAACCAATTTATTAGAAGACATGGATCAAAATGAAGCAAGGGGCCTCTTTGGGAGGCTGAGGTGTACACATCGCTTGAGGTCAGCCTGGCCAACGTGGCAAAACCCTGTCTCTACTGAAAATACAAAAAATTAGCTGGGCATAGTGGTGCAAGCCTGTAATCCCAGCTACTCGGGAGACTGAGGCAGAATTGCTTGAACCCAAGAGTCAGAGGTTGCAGTGAGCTGAGATCACACCACTGTACTTCGGCCTGGTCAACAGAGCGAGACTCTGTCTCAAAAAAAAAAAAAGGAAAGAAAAATGAAGCAAGAAGGAAAGGACAGCTAAAAAATCCTGAGGCTTCTGAAATGCCCAGATAACTGGTGGCCATAGTTATGCCTGCTAAGACTTGGGTGCACTGATCTTGGATTAGCTCCCTTGGTCTTATTTTCCCAAAAAATAAATCTTTGAGTTATGGGCATTCCATTTACTTCCATCAGCTGCCAGGATTTGTGGGATAATTGCCCAGAATTAGAATACTGATCCAGATTTTTACATTACCCATCCCATTTGTTTCTTCTGAGCTGCAGCTAGAGATCACTAGTTGGTTCACAGGAATAAGCAGTGTTAGTCCAAAACCTTAAAAACAACTAATGCTACTAGAATTTAATAACAACTGGATAAGTTTTGAAATATAACTTTTCTCTCTCCAGTTCTTTTTGTTGTTTAAAAAAAAGTCATGATAGGACTGAGTTGTTTGCAAAATAAACTTTAGTTTTATATTTGGCCTGATTATTTGCATAAAGTGCAGCAAGAATAATTATTTTCACATAGACTTTTTAAATTGTTTTTTTTTTTTTCTAATATGGGTTGTCCCCAATTAAATTGGTTTTGATGGAACTCTGTTGCATAAGAAATATTAGATAAGATTTTTTAAATACGAGCCCAGCCATTAGTTTATACCCTCAAATACCTATGAATTGGGTAAATTCCTCTTTTCTTGAGGTCCTAAGTTATCTTGGGGCTCCTGGGCCTGTTAAAAGGTGACTTTTTTTTACTCACTATAGGTTAGGACCCCTGTACAAGGGTTGTGTGACAAGGAATGAGGCCAGTTTTCCCAAAGCCATTTTATTGGCTCTAGAGGTAAAATTTGATTCCTTAAAGGGAAGCACACCCCTCCATTCAAAGCCTTAGTAAAACAAGCAGATTCTCTAACTGCATCCTGTTGCAAAAGAACATAGATTCTTACTGCACTTATGCAAATAACTACATTGCTATAAGTTAAGAATACTCACAGTTTCCAAATTCTGGAGAAACCAAGCAGAGAGAAGTATGCCACAAATTTTGTTCACAGGAGTATACTTTACTCAGTTGTTAAAAGCTGTAAATAGCTTAAAATAAATGTTTTCCTGACTCTGAAAAGCAAGATCAGCAGCGTTTTAAGCAAAAAGTTAAAAAAGATTACTTTAGCCTTTTATTAGTTCAGTCCACTC